AGGAAAAATAGGGATTTTATATTTTTCCTATTGAAAATAAAAACTTATAAAAAACAGTTATTGACGAGCCTGATTTAGTATTCAAGATGGCAGCTTTCATGACTCCAACATTAGACAACAACCGTCTCGGAAAATCTTTAAAAAATATCATTTATTGACCAATTGAAAACATGATTCTTTTAAAATTGAAAATAAAACATGATTCAAGACGGAAATACGAATGTAAGCAGTACTTTTCTTCACAAATAATTACGTTTAGAGCAGTTTTTTAATGTGAAATTCGTGCTGGTCGGAAGCAGTGTGCAGAAGACCTCCGTGCTGGTCGGGCCCGGCCGGCTGTCCGGCCCGCCCAGTGCCGATCGCCGTGGCTATAGCGCTGCTTGCTATTATATTACCGAACCCCGAACCGAACCAAGTTCGGGTGAAAAATTGCCGAACTCTTCCGAACCGAACCGAACACGAACATAGCATCTGACTTACAGCACTATTATAAAGTTCTCATACTGATAAGAGGAAGTGGAAGTGGAAGTGGAAGAAGTGGAAGTGGAAGAAGTAGAAGGAGTCGCCATTGTAGTAGGTAGTATAGTGGTAGTATAGTAGTACCAGTAATGATTGACCTCTTCATCAAACACATCTTCCCTTTCTTCTCCCTCTTCTTCTCTTCCTTCTCTCCCTCATTTCTCTTCCTTCTCTCCCTCCTTCCTCTCCCTCTTCCTCTTCCTCTCCCTCTTCTTCTCCCTCTTCTTCTTTATCAATAGCTGCATCTCCTATGCTAGTATACAGTGCCAACATATCCAATTTGACAATGATCGTACATGATTACCTTCCTCCACCAAAGGTGGAATTTTCAATAAAGTGTTATCTATTTCAACCTAGGAAGATATTCTTGAATTATATAAAGCGAGGATTCGCATTTTCTTTATTTAATAATTGATTGAATGTGGTTAATCCTAAAGGATTGAGTATATGCCATACACTTCATACACATTTTTCACTGAATTTGGAGGTCTGCAAAGTTGTAAAGAAGAGGGAGGGAGGGAGGGGAAGAAAGATAGCGACAGACTGAGAACAAATCGGATATGTACATTGTGATACCTTGGAGTATGATAAGCTTATGATGGGGGATTGAGAATCCGAACACTAATCAAACATAAAGGCTTCTCTTTTGCCTTCAAATTTAACTGAAAATTTTCATTAAAAGCACTACAGGTAATCGTCATGAATATTTATCCTATATAATATTTTCCAACATTAGTCTATGAAGATTTATGAAATATTGCTTGTAATCTTCTCCAAATTGATGTTTTAAATAAACTGTCCAAAGACACAACGTCTGGGTATACATGTAAGTTTAAGCTGTCACAATCGACAGTGGTTTAAACACAAAACATCTATTGAATAGTACGCCAGTGGGGTGTTTCACCATTTACTGGCATTGGTCTCTCAAGGGACGTACAAATCATGGTCATAAATCTACAGAATACACATTTTTTGATAATTTATTATTGAAGGAAAACATATGATCTAAATATCATAATGGTGAGAGCAAACAGTGGCATGAACGGCCTGCCATATTTAAGTCCAACTTAAAGTCGATCTTAGTCTTTGTGAAACACTCCCGAGGTCTGCTATTGAATGTATGTCTGCTACCAAACGTAAAAATTTGTAATCTATATTTCAAATATAACTCTTTAAGTATTTTTTAAAAAGTGCAAGTAAACTTCTTAAAATTATTGTTTGAAAGTAAGTGTTGATGACCGACCTGTGGCTTTGACTGTGAGAGTAAGTCAGGGAAAAAATTAATATTTATTTTTCGGGGGCTACTTTTCAAGCTTGCCTGGATGAAAATAACATTCTAAAATTTGTTTTGCATTGAACTCTATGCAAATTTACAGGGGCACTTTCTGATTTTGGGGGGCTCTTTTAGGCATTTTGGGGGGCTCTTTTAGGCATTTCGGGGGCTAGTTCGCCCCGAGCCCTCGTGTATTTTCTTCACTGGAGTAAGTTAGACATGACTCTAGAATCTGGCCAACTTGGACTAGGGGTGAACTCACTAGACCTTGCTGCAAATGCAAGGCCGAGTTAGTCCGGTAGGGTTGAATCGATCATGAAATACCAATGAGTCTGTGTTTGTGCTCATTACTTGTTGATATAACCCTTTAAAGCCTTTCTGACCAAAATTGTTATTGGAATTGTAAGAATTGATTACTATGGAGATAATCTAGAACTTTACTTGAGGTTAAATGATATAAAAGTGACATTTCAGACATTCTACTTACAGCTCGCTTTCACCCTGGCCGTAAATTAGCAGACTACATCCACAAGTGCAGCAGCCAAGCAAAGCCCGACGTTCCTGGATTACGAGCCTTAGTAAAAGATCCTTTGACCTGAAGGCAGAGTGGCGTCTTGCAGGTGCTCCTTGATATCCCTGTCTGACCTGCATTTCTGTATTTTCTGCGTCACAGTCAATCTGTGACTTCGGTTTCTCCTCCATGCTCTCATCTTATCTTTCTCTCTCATGAGTATTTTATGAATCAATCCTGCACTCTGTTCACTCGTGCTCATCTTGAACTTCATCCAATATCGTAATTTAGGTTTTAAAGCCTGTCTGCACTAGTTTGGCAGGGGGATAAGACCTCACTGTAAGGTCACTGACAGGTGTTTATCTCATCAAATAAGCTCTCAATTAACATAAATAAAAGGGGATCATGGGGGACCAACAGGCACCGATTATGCGTTGTTTGCTATAAGTAGTACAGCGGGGCTTTAATAAACTCCATTTTCAGTCATATCTCAAAATTAGTTCCTGACAAGCAACAGAGAATATTTCTGATAATCACAGGAAATGGAGAGGGAACAATTCTTCAAACTTCTTAGCTCGATCCTTCTGAATTAATCTCTCTTTCTCTTTTTCAATCTACCATATTTTTGTATCTCTATTTTTTGTCTGTGTTTCTCTCACTAAACATCCTACATTCCTGTCTTTATCTCTAACTCTTCTATCCATTCTTAAATCTTTCTTCCACAAAGCGCATCCATAACAGAACTCCAAGGTATAATGACTCAAAATGTACATATCCAATTTGTTCTCAGTCTGTTTGTATGTCGCTATCTTTCTTTCTTTCCCTCCCTCTTCTTTACAACTTTGCAGACCTCCAAATTCAGCGAAAATATGAAGTCACTGATACTCAGTCCCTTTTCAAATCGTTCTCTTACAAGACCTACATCTGTATGCAATCACAATGAAAACAAAAACTGGTCCATTGCACACTTTAGAAAAATCCCTCTACGTTGCAAGAGTATATTCATGTTCATATGATGTGTAGTATGGATATAGAACCAGATGATATTCAGACAAAAAGTTGTCTGCTTCAGATTATAATGAAGTACACAACCAACACCGCATCCTCAAATCTGTTTACAACAAGACACTCCTTCTCCTTCACCTCAAATGCTTAACTTTCTCTAGCACATTACCAGCAAAATACATGTAAAAGATGACACTGAAAAAAAGAAGCACTATAATATGACACAATACTATACAATCTGATGGTAAAAGCACACTTGTGTCGTGTCTCATCACCATCATCATCATCGCCATCATCCCCATCATCATCATCATCACCATCATCATCTTCACCGTCGTCATCATCACCATCACCATCACCATCACCATCACCATCACCATCACCATCACCATCACCATCACCATCACCATCACCATCATCGCCATTATCATCACCATCACCATCACCATCACCATCACCATCACCATCACTATCACCATCACCATCACCATCACCATCGTCATCATCATCATTGTCATCATCAATTATCATCCCTCAGCAAACATAAAAAGAAATCTTACCTCCTGACGTTGGCTTCCTCCCCTACAAAATGCACTCTTAGCAGCACATAGAACCTGCTACAAACCACATGATCGACCACTCAAGCATTCCAAAAGTTCAGAACATTACACACCACATCACTTGTACAATAGATAATACACATTTCAAAGGTAACATGTCAGCATACATTGGAATCAGCAGCAAATGCAACACAGCCTTTGGTGCTTCAAACTATTTGCCAACCTAACTTCTAGGCAACCAGAATGTGCCAAAACATGGACCCGCAGACAGATGACCCTCGTAAATTGAGAAAAGATTCTATATTTCTACAGTAGTTTAAATTGAGAAGAAAAGCCAGCCCCCTCCCCACCCCCCCCCCCCCCCTTTTTTTTTCCTTCACCATATACTTAAATTGCTTATTTTGTTAGTTTTGTACTTTATTTGTTAAAAAGTTAGTTGGGATTGAAGTTTTGCTACAGGGAAATCCAAACAACTCCAACCCAGTAGGCAAAGCTTTTCTTTTTGAGAGTTGGGATATGAGCATTGGTAGTGGAGGAAATGCATTTGGAATGTCTGGTTGCCTAGTCAGCCAGGCAGTTTTGAAGCACCTTACAGCATATGATCCACACATATAATCAGACAGAATAGGGGGTCTCAGGCCTGTACTCTTGAAAGCTGTTTAAGTGTGATGATTCATCACCCAAAAAAATGAATGCATTATCTAAACAATTGCAAAATTTATAATCAAATGAATTTTGTGTAATCATTAATTTTTTTTAGAAACATATTCACAGTGAATTATTTCAAAGTTAGGGAATGACACTTGACTTTCCATGAATAAATTTCAGCCAAGTTTAAAGATATATGTTGATTGTGTTATGCAGAAGAATCTGTGTATCCTGCCATGTTTTGGAGCCACCAACTTGATACAAAATAGTGCTTGCTCTTCATGAAAAGCTAAAGCAGATGTACTTGAAACAGAAATGGGTGTATGGGACTACACACACATGAGGCATGACTATCAAGTCACACACATTCAACCATTTGCGTGGGCCATTTCTCTTCAACTTAAGCCGCTTTCAAGAGTACGGGCCCAAGATAATACATCAACAACGAATCACAGCAAAGAATCTTGATAGGGCACAGTCTTACCTTTCCGGCCTCAAAGGATTCCCGTTCTTTCCGGCCGTCTTTCCTGAGGGAGAGCGCCAGCTTCTTGCTTTCGGGACTGTGCGTTCTGAGGACGCGACACTTCAGAACTTGGCCAACGTAGAAGTTGTCTGTGGGAGACGAGCTTTCGTCCATTCCCAGCTCGGCCCTCGGGATGATGCCTGCAGGGACGGCAAGAAGAAACATTCAACTTAAAGTGACTCGGTAACATTGTCTCACATTCCAAACCAAAATCCTTGATTTAGCTCATGCTGCAATCGTTATTATAAAACTGCAGGTCAGTCAGGAGTCCCATGACATTTACAAGCCAATCGCCTGTCTGATTATCAAGATATTTATGATTGGAAATCAAAATTTAAATAACGGTTTTCATAACACTTCAGACTATTGGGGAAAATGAGTAGGGTAAAACCACTCAAAGATTTTTACTTTTTGAGGTACTTCAGGATCATTTTGAAACGCAATTTTGTTTAGGGCTTCAATATTACACCATATCACAGACACTGACAACACGCAGGGCCTTGTATCTCAGATTTAACATTCTTAAACGATGCCTTTATATATGAAACAAATACAGGTAAAACAAATGCTATTGAAAATTCTGACCTTTGACATCATTGTAGAACGAGACGATGCAGCCAAAGTCCTTGACGGCCACGACACAGCCATGGATCCACATGCCCAGCTTGGGTTGGGCGTAAGAGGCCAGGAATGGTAGGCTTGATTTGACCATGGTCTTCTTGTGGGTCAGAAGGACGCGCCTCTTGGCAGGTTCCACAAGGAGGACCTAAAGGTAGGGAACAAAAAACGAGGAAAGAGAATGGAAGAGAGATTAAAGGCATCGTTTAACAATGTTGAATCTGAGATGCATGGCCCTACGTGTAATCATTGTCTGTGATATGGCATAATATTAAAGCCCTAAAAAAAAATGCGCTTCAAAATGATCATGAAGTGCCTCAAAACATTTAAAATCTATGAGTGACCAGTTTTACCATACTCATTTTCCCCAATACATTGTAGTGTTAGGAGAACTAAATATGAAATGTTGATTTCCAATCTTAAATATCTTGATAATCAGACAGGCATTCGGCTTGTAAAAGTCATGGGGTTCCTGACTGACCTAAAGGTTTATAATTATCATTGCAGTATGAGCTAAATCCAGAATTTTGTTTCAGAATCTGAGAAAATGTTACTGAGTCACTTTAAAATCTAGATCAGTTTTTATCTAGAATTCAACCAGTCTGTCCAACGGTCAGAAAACAAATATCAATATTCTATACCATTTTTGCAAAATGGAGAAATTGGCCCAAACATATCCAAAGGCACTAATCATCACACAAACTCTAATTGTCTCTCTTTCCCCTCAAGTGTAACATTGCTGAATGGTTGCCCAGTAAAAAGAGATTCCTCATAATGCTTTTTACTCATATAACACAACAGGAGCTCAAGTTACATGATGAATACCAAAGACACATTATACACTGCAGATATACAATTCTCATGCAGTGATATATTTGAAACAAATACATCTTCTGATTGCACACGAAGAGACAAAGAAATTTGAGGGGATCCTGGAAATTGTAATTTGTACTCACCCTCAGTTCGATTTCTGATCCGATAGTGAATCGTTCTTGTGGCTTTTGTACAGGAATGTCAGCAAGGTGGGTTCTTGGAACAAAACCATGGATCCGATCTTGGATCTTGACAGCTACTCCTCTCGACATCACAGACTCGATCACTCCCTGTATATGAATGATAGTGACAAATAAGTTGGAAACGTTTCCAAGGTAACTAACATATTTTCTGTATTGTGTCATTTGCTTTTTTAGATTTCCATACTTATTACATTTACAAATTTCTCATTAGCTTCAATCTGAAGTTTGAAAACATCAAATTTCCTTTACTGCCTTGTAATCTACTTATCTGCCTAATTCCATTCTTAATTTCATTGTTACACCAAGGTGTAAAGCATAAATTGAATTCCTGAGTAGCATAAAAGCCATTGGCTTCTTTCAAGTTAAAGCACGCATTTTGAATCAATTTTCATGTAAATTGTAAACAATGAAAAAGATTTAAATTGCTGTAAGGCTTAAATGTTCTGCAAAGAATCATCGAACAAAGATCAACTTGCAGGATCTACTCCTTAGCATTTCAAGCTTTTAAAATACTAAATAGCAGCCATCTTCTTCACACCGCTTGCAATGCTTAGTTTCATCTTCGTGATAGGCTGCATAGCCCTTGAAGATTACTACAAGAACAATAAAGGCACTCAACCCAGGTGAGGTAAATGGGTACCTGGCAGGAATTAATTCCTTGAAATGCTGGAGCGCTGTAATGCCAGCTAGGCTAAAGCCAGGGTAATAATTAATGCGCCTCGGAATAGAATTTCTAGATAGACAACGTTATAGAAGTGTCTATGATTATTATTATTAGTAGTAAATTACCTTGACCAGCATGCCTGGCTTAACATCGTTGATCCCGAGGAAGGGCTTGTCCAAGATGGACTTCCTCATGGAGACGATGGCCAGCCGGTCAAAGAGGTTGAAGCTCAGGATGCGGCATCTGACCTTCTCCCCAACGCTGGCTGGACTGTACCTCTTCTGCTTGTCATCACTGCCATGGGAATGCTGTATAGGTTATGTAATAGTATAGTGGTGGTTATTTTACATGACTGCTGAGAAAGCATAAATGCTTGTTTGTAAGCAACCAGAGGACTGACGGATTTAGGTCCTCTCAGAAAGACCTGGTGATGAGGATAAATGCCTTACCAAAGAGCACTATCGCATCTCCTTGGTTTCGAACCCGGGTTGCAGGATTACAAGACCACTGCTCTACCAACTGAGCTATCCCGACTACTCTTGGTACACAACATGTATGTCTGTCAGTGATGTTTAATAAGCAACAAAATGCATTAGCTCTAGGTGGCAATCTAGCATCTAAAAATATTGATTATTTGGAACAGAGTATAAATGCAGAATCCACTTTCATGTAAAAATCTTAGCTTTTGTTGAGCATATATCTGACAGTAAATTTTGTGTTCATGACAACCTCTAGACGATAAACCCCTCTAATTTGTTCTTTTCAATCATGGCTTGTCATTTGGTTAGGGCAAGGTTGTCAAAAGATACTCAAAATTTACAAATTTTATATTATTTTGCAAGGGTTCAGCATGACCAAGTGTGGGGGAGGGCACAGGGAGCGACCCCATTTTGCGTGGATGTGTAGTGTTTTCAAATGGGTGACAAGAAAAGTGGAAATATAAAAAATCAGGTCTGATCCCTAAATAAAAGAAGCCTTTTCATCCTTTCATACTCACATATACAATGCCTCTCGTCTTTGGATTCAGCTGCACAATTAGATTCTCCTTCTCCTGAACTCTGACCACCAATGCAGCTTCAATGATGTCACCAGGTGAAAGGTCACGGATCACATCAGTGGCAGGGTCAAAGGTCGTTTTGTGATGAGCTGGGTTCAGGCTGAGCCCGATGGACTTGGTGGTGGGGCAGTTATACAGAACAACAGCCACCAGCTATGGAATGGGGGCAGACCGTGTAGGAAAATCAGATTCTTGGCCAGTAATATTCATAACGTAATTCACAGTCAGCATAAGACTTTGGACATCAGAAAGAAAATTACCGTACTGTGAATTACTTGTATACATACAAACATAAAGCCTTCTATTTAGCCCATGGATTTAACACAAAGTATTCATCAAATAGCACTAACCATCATTAATATATTTTTTGATATATTGTCCAACACATGCCTTAGAAGATTTATGAAATATTGCTTGTAAACTTCTACAAATTATTGGTTTAAATCAAAGGGTTCGGATACACACGTCTGGGTATACTTCTCTCACAAAAGGGTACCTGATGACACACACTTTCAAAATGTGAAAGTGTTTTGATCTTCCCACACGTTTGCTTGTGGGGTGCAAGGCAAGTGCCCAACACATAAGTAATTCTACAACAGCTGTATACTGGTCCATTTCTTTGTTATTGAAATATGAGGATAGGATCGTGTACATTGGAAGATCCTTATATTCACGTTAAAGCCCGTCTGCACTAGTTTGGCCAGGAGGGATTAGACCACCCAGTGTGGTCACTGATAGGTGGTTAACTCACCATATCAGATCTCAATTAACATAAGAAAATTATGCATTGTTTGCTATATAGAGGGCGCAAGTAGCTATAAGTAGTGCAGTGGGGCTTTAAAACAAGAGCTTCCATAGAAGAAGGCTTTTCATGACTGTACTAATGGGGGGAATTCAATAATAATGAAGTTAGTGTCCTTCAGAAGAGTTTAAACATACCTTTTGACCAATATCATACTTGGTGAGTTCATCTACAGTATCCTTGAGGTGGATGGGGTCTACACAGCCCTTGTACAGACCAAAGATGTCCATGATCAGGGAGTTTGAAAGTACCTAGAAATTCAGAGAAAAAATGTGACAGAGAAAAAGAATTACATGTAGTTAATGCAAATGAGGCTAGTATAGATTGCATGACATTGCATAGTGTGCTTTGACAGGCAGCTTTAATGCTCTGTGCAACTCCTATTTTACTTGACTACTGGTACTCACCTGAGGGGGGGGTGCACCTAAGTTATCCTTTGGTATCATTATTCCTTGCAAGCAGCTAAAAAGTAAAATTTAAGGTATTTTTCGATAATAATTTCAGGTTATAATTACCTTTGTAACCATAGCATCTAGTCTTGTGCCCGGTATCAGAGATGAAAACGTGGTATGTGTCGCCTTGGTAGCTTTACAGGATTTTAACCTCTCCGGGTCAAAGGTCAGGATGATGGAGCGTCCATTGGCCTTGACTGCCTTGACAAGACATGTCACAAGCTTCCCCGTCTTCATGGTCTCACCCTTCCTGCCTTTGGCGCCCTTGGTGGCCTCCTCCTTGGCCAGGAAAGCGTTGGTGCCTCTGATGCCGAGGTCGATCGTGTAGCCGTGATCTTCCACACTGGACACGCAGCCATGAAGGGTCTGAAAGAGGGTCAGAGATAAATGTCAGTTCAATTCTTGGTTTATCAAACTAGAAAAATGGGCAGTCCAGGGGGGGTGTTTCACAAATATTTGAAGTCAAATTTAACTCTAAGTTGGACTTCAATATTATGGAGAGCCATTTGTAGCCTTATAATGAAATATATTAAAAAGCAAAGATTCAAGTTTTTTAGCCTTTTCATAAATTCCACATCAAGAACATGAAATCTTCTTGATAATTGAAAATATGAATTATTCTAATCAACCTTTTATGCGTTTTAAAATAATGTTTACAAAATATTTTCAAGGATGCTAATGGCTGTCCATAATTGCTAAGTCCAACTTAGGATCTATGTGAACACCCCCCAGGACTATTTGTACAATGTAACAAAGGAGATAAAATTTGAAAGACAAACATAGTTGGATATGACGAAACGATGGAATGAACATCCTAGACGCACAGCTGATTATTCATGACCTTTTGCGTATTTATGTGATCATCAAATGCTTGAACTTTGAAAGATATTTATAGTTGGATATGACGAAATGATGGACGAACCATCCTTGATTTTGCTTACCATGCCTGCTTTGATGAAAGAGATACCAAGTTCTGAGTTGACTTCTTTGTAATCGAGAGAGGCCTGGATGCGCCGGTGGCCATCCTTGGATGCCCCTAGAGACTTGACCTTACAAGGGACTAGGTTCCCGACCTGATACACGTCTTGGATGTTTGGAAGATCCTGGGTGGGGAAGGAATCATTCAGAGAGTTGCAAAGAATTATTTTAAAGATGAAGTTGAGTACTGGTCATGCGATTGCATTGTGAAAGAAACGGTGAGGAATCTAGTATATAAGAATTTGTGTGTATTGCAAGGTTCTGGAATCATCAAAATGATGAGAAATTTGGCCAAGTCTTGGTAAAGTTACAAACACTGTACACAGAAAGATGTATATGGGACTACACGAACATGTGGCATAAAAATCCTACCCCCGAGTTTTACGATGTTACATGACATATTTAGAATATGAAGGCATTTGAAGAGCCATGCTTTTCAGGGAACATGTCTTATCTGATGTTCTTCCACACTTGCATTTAATAAGAATGATAACGCTCACAAATTATTTGTTCACCTTTTCCCAGAACTCAACCTTCTCTTTAACAAGACTGATAAGTATGCTAGTCTCATTGAATTCTTTTATTTTAGAATAAAAACATGTAAGTAAAACTTGATCTTACAAGGGACTAGGTTTCAAACCTGATACAACTTGATACACATCTTGGATATTTGGAAGATCTTGGTTTGGAGAGGAGATTTTTAGCACAACTGATAATAATAATAATAATAATAATATTTAATTTTTATATAGCGCTTAATACAAATGTCTCTTAGCGCTTTACAAATATACTATTACCCCGGTCATTGGATTCAGTGATTACCCTCACACACTGATAAAAACTAACTATATAGCATCATGCATCAAGAATGACTCAATCTCTCTAAGAAATTTTTGCACACTCAAAATAGAATGGAATTTTCTCAAAAGTCACAAGAGATCCATCCTGCAAGAACGATATGTTATACATTTGCTTGTAAAACACTGGTGATTTTGAGTTCACCTGAGATTTGCTTCTGCATTAAAACAACAAAAGATTTCACAAGTTGAAGTTCCAATTCATGTTGGAACTTAAATAAATCTTGCACAAAGGTGTGTCATATATCATAGGAAGGGATATTTTTAGTGTATTGTTGATTGCAAAAAAAAGTTGTGGAGATACAGAGAGAGATGGACAAAGACAATGCAAAATAAATTGGATTAAAAAGGAATAGAAAGCGAGAGAACGAGAACAAGAGGGAGACAGTGAAAGAATCAGGAAGACAGAAAATAAGAAGTGACGATTGAAAAAAAAGTTGTAAAACAGAAGATGAGAGAGAAAAAGAGACTAAAAGACAAAGATAGAGAGAGAGAACAAACTTGAGACAAGGTGGGAAATAAAAGAAGGGAGCAAAAAAAATATTTTAAAAAATACACTGTATCTGCAAAATGTACACGTTTAAATAAGTGAATGGGGAGAGAGGTCTTCATACCTGATCTTCAGCACCGTTAGATTCATTCAGCTCCTGAAGCTGTTGTGTGAAGAAAGATGAAACGTCTGTGATCTGAACAAATGCTGTCTGACCGTTTGGAAGACTCAGAACAATTTCATACTCGTGGATCTCCTGTACGACCGCTAGCACTAGCATGCCTTCACTCAGGGTCTGCAAAAGAAAAATAACGACATATATACAGACGTGAAAGATTTTAAATGGACGTGTATGCTGCAATCCTCAGCAAAGGTAGAGTGTGATATATTGTAAACTGCAAAGTTATGCGACAAATCTTGAATGATTTGTAAACAATGGTCATTTTCACAGCAAGAAAATGTGATTTCAGTATTGTCAGTCGTGATTCTACTGATTCACGGCATGAAACTTTTACAAATCTGAACCACTTGCGACATTCACAGACATTTCTTGAACCAAACATAAGGTTTGACGGTATACCAATGACTTGCCTAGTGAGGCCATTGGGGTTTTATGTAGAGGTCATTATTATAAATCCACATAAAAAAATTCAAATACAGTCAAACCTGCTTTAGTGACCACCTGTCTACTAAGACCACATTTTTTGTTTCCCTTGAAAATGGTTTCTCATTGAAACATGTACTAAGAAACCCGTCTACAAAGACCATGTTTTGTGTTTCCCTTGGGCGGTTGCTATAGACAGGTTTGACTGTATCACAAATAATCAATATCTCATGTGGACAAACTGACCTTGGATGTGAGTGTCTTAGGAATGAAACCCTCTGTTTCTGTTGCTCCTTCAAACTCTTCTTCAAGGTCTGGTTCTTCCGTCTCTTCACCTTCACTCTTCTTTGTCTTCTTCTTCTTCTTTCCCTTGCTGGGAGTCGCTTGCTCTGAATCCTGTGGATAGAGAATTTACAACAATAATAACCATTTAGTCAATCCAACTTCTAACAAAATTAATGAGAAAGTTGAGTTCTTGTGAAGATGGACAATAATTTGTGACCTTTCTAATTCGTTGCATGTCAGTTTGAAAGGTTATCAAAGTAGAAATATCCCATTAAAATGATGACTGTTTGAATTCCCTCTTATTCAAAATATGCAAACAACATTTGGACCAAATGTTTATGCTGTGTATTATGGTCCTGTATACAGTACCTAAACTTGTATGATGCATTTGAGTCAGTTTCCCTTGAGTTTGATGACAAAACCTCACGATGTACATCTATTCTTGTACATAGTCAACCATTACCATCTGCTTTTAGTTTCTTTTACAATGAAACCGGCTTTTAGCGATCATCTGTATAAAAGGACCAGCTGTCTCTGTCTCTATAAAGACCACATTTTCTGTTTCCCTTGAGTAGTGTTCCATTAGAGCATGTTCTAAAGGTATACAGACCATTTGCTCGTAAAGATTCCTAGTACCATGTCTTTCTTGAGCCGTCATTTTATACAGGCATCAATGTATAATCTCATGACTAATACTCAACCAAGTCTTTAAGCTTTGAAATATTCACTGACCTTAAACAGGACATCTTCAAGGCTACGTTTCACACCCAATTGTACAAAGCACTTCTTTTTTTCATCCGTTGATCTTGTAGCACGTCTAATTACAGCTCCTCTTGGAAAATCTTCCTCCATCCTGCTTTCTTTTGTTATCTCACGAAAATGCAATTAATCTATCATCCTACAAAATAAAATGTAAAGGCAAATGAAAAGAAAAAAGATTAAGAGACTTGGCAAACACTGCATATAGACCTACATGTACAGTACCTTTTCAGAGCAGTAAAAAGATGCTTCTTCCTCTCCTTTCTCCAGTCCTTGCTCTTTTTGTTCTATTTCCTTTTCCTATTTTCTCTTCTCTCCCTTCCTTTCTCCTCTTCTTTTTTTTCTTTAAATGTTTCACTTTCTTGATCTTCTTCTTCTTCATCTCCTATATTTCCTTCTTCTTGTCCGTCTCTTAGTCTCGGCAGAGCTCTGCCTTCGATTCACAAATTACACAATCAAATAGACAAAAGACAGCACAGTGTCGACCTCGTTCGAAATTCAAATTTAAACATGTCCTTTGAATTTTTAATGGTAACAAAGTAGAATCAGTAAAATACAGAAAACTATTAATTATTCTTGTATTTGAATTGTTTTCACTACATTCCTCATCTCACTCAAAGAGTCAAAATATCAGGACAGGAGGGGCGCAGGTCGAAGAATAAGGATCGTCTTCATAAACGCGGACCGATGCGTTCTCAAAAATAAGGATCGTCTGCATTTTCGCAGATGTTTCATATTTTTGATCGCCGCATTGGCGATGCAAAAAAACAGATTCCATTTAGATTTTCTAGATGCATTTTACATTGACTTTGTAGAGAGACCTTCACATTATGAGCAATAAATCCTTGGGAAGACGGACAACCCATAAAAATAGACGGTGAACTAGGGTTATTTTCCCCTGGGGAATTCATTTTTGGCATCGCCAGCGGGCGGTTCGATAACCCGAAACCTGCAGAGCGCCGATGAAAAAAACGTCCGCCAAAATGCAGACGTCGACGATCCTTTTTTTTTACGACGCATTTTGTCTGCGTTTATATGAGGATATCCTTGTTTATGAAGACAATCCTCATTCTCGGACCAGCGCCCCTACTGAATATGGTTCTCTTCTATTTTGTTAATCATCTTCAAATTCAATATCATCATCATCATCATGATTATCATCATAAATTTAGGGTGTCTGAACGATTTTTCAATTTTCAATTTGGGATCGTTTTTCACCATTTTTGTTTGATATTTGAATTAAAAATGCAATCAGAATAATACATTTCAAATTTCAAGTCTCGCCGATGTTTCTATCAAAAGATACAGCCCCTTCAAAATGCTGAAATATTCATAGCATTTTGCTCAGAATCGACGAAAAAGACGTACACGCAGAGTTATGTTGTTTTGCTAAATTTAGCCAAACAGCTGTATCGCGCGATATGCAAGCGTATGCATATCGTACGCAAGTTGCTCAGCCAATGCGCGACTTGCAAGCTTGAGCCACGCTGTCTCCGCGATATGTGCCATTGACTAGTATGGGTGGCCGTTCCCGCTATAGAACCCGGAAGTGAATACACGTTGTAGTCAATGGCAATATCGCGGAGACAATCTCCGCGATATTGCCATTGACTACAACGTGTATTCACTTCCGGGTTCTATGGCGAGAATCGGCCACCCATACTTTCATTCACTATAAGCGCACATGTTACGATGTAACCATGGTTTGGACTGAGCGGAGCTCACGCCTCCCTCATTAGCCGATTCCAAAAATGTGGGAAGGGTATTTTCAAACTGTTATAACAAATGATCCCTTGGGGCTAGCGAAAAAAAAAGCATCTGGATATTATCGTTACGTCTAGCCCTGCTTAAGCCGCGGGGCGGCAGCTCAGGAAAGTGGCAAATTTTGGAGCTAGGATGCAAACAACATTTCAATCGCTGTTTTGACCAAGATATTTTTAGAATTCTGGGGGTGGCCCCCGATGGGGAATATGGAGAAAAACCTGCTCTTTCATATGACACCTCATTTATTGAGTTTCACCTTCAGGATCATTTGTTATAAAGGTTTGAATTTCAAATTTTTCATAAAATCATTGACCAATTTTGGATGGTCGCGCAATGCACGTAGACCACATAGGGAAGCGTACAATCTCTATGGGAAGGGTTTTAGCACACAACATTGGGTGCGCGATCAGACACCCTAATAAATTGTCAATCATTCCAAGTCAACTCATCTAATTCACTGGTCAATTATCATCACTCTCACAGACACAGTTCAAACTCTTAGTCTTACTCTTGAGCTTTAGCTCAGCTCAGTCAGCCATGGCATGATATTTATTATTAATTATGCCAATACACACATTCTGTAATCTGTATGCAGCTGCAGCAACAACCTGTCTAAATCAGTCTCACTCTCAGACACAATCACATGCAGTCACTCACACTCAGTCACAGCATAGACGTAATAGAATGGACTATCGACGAAGCAGTTTCTTTGATCCTATGAGTTCCACCGGCAAGGTTTAAATTTCGCGCCGATGCAAAAACCCAGCGGTGGTCCCACCGCAACCCGACAGCTGGATGCGATCACTTGCGCAATCTTTCATAATCGCAACAGCAAGCTCGCGATTTGGGGTTGTTCGCTGCTCCTTCAAATCGTTGAGAACCTAGTGTTAAATAGTATGAGCGCTCTCCGCCATGCGGTCGTAGCGAACATGTTTTCGTCTTTGTGCCTGACGATATTATTGTTATTGTTTTCAGCGTTGTATCTATACTAACAATTATTATTTATTTCGATGTGTGTATTGTTCCATAATACATATTTTTCTCGTACTCATGAGTCATGTGTTGTTTATAAAGTAATTAGAAGGGCAGGATTATCATTAGATGACATAAATAAGGAAGAACTTTATGATTATGATGGGCAGTCCATAATTATATCGACATAGCAGACGACGGAAATGTTGAATATTTTGCAATGGTCAATTCCCAAATTTACGGACACAGATATTTATCCTAATTCCTAGATTCTCAAAAAAAAAAACGTACACATAATTTATAGTAGGCCTACATCAAGATAAAATAAGATAAAATCTGAGGGAAGAAAAAAAAAAGCAGTCACTCTCGGATTAACAAGTCCAAAATATAACTTGAAAAAAACATGCACCCGCCGATCTCTATCAATGGGACTACGTGTGCAATTTGGATTAGACAAAGGCACGGCAATTTAGTGGTCATGATGCGAAGAAGTCACGCATTACCACAGATTTTCTGAGCACTCACGAAAACAACCCCATTCTTCCAATGCCTATAAAAAAAACGCACGCAAACGCAACAAATAACGAATGATTGTATTCGACCAGCGAAGGATTTGTGATCACCACAACGTCGTTGGTTTCACAGAGAAATTAACGGAAACAGGAGAAAAAAACACTTTTTAAACTGTATTTTGTAAGCTCTTGTGGTAACTTTCCTTGCTGATATGATGAGTTTGCTACACACCAACACAAATTCGTAAAAAATCGAAGAAATCACCGATTTCAACGGCTTTTTTTACAGATTGGCGAGCATGAACAGGACGTAAACCTCATGTTTACATCCGGGGCATTATTGACGTAGTATTTAGCTGCGCATGGGCAGAAGGCTCTCCTGTCACGATTCATTCATGAAATGAGAAGCGCAAATCGTGGGAAGCATTGGTCAGTGCGAAGCGACTTGGCCGATAGAGGTCGGCAAAATCCCGGTGGATCTCATAGGACCAAAGGACCCTTATCGGAGCTTATCAAAACATGCCCGCAGCGTTGCGGTCAGACTTAAAACATAGAAGAAAGTAAGACATAAGAACAGGTGGTAGCTATCATTACTTTTACTACTCTTGCCGTCAAAAGTCCATTTCTATTACGTCTATGGTCACAGTCACTCAGTCTCACTCTTGCGGAGTTCACCACATTTGTTATCATAAATTCATATTTATATTTACGTCTGTATTTACAGCTCAGCAGAATTTCAGATCCATACATGGATTTCGATGCTCATCTCAGCTCAAAAATGATGTAATTATCGTAAAGAATGACTTGGCCTGGCACAGCTTTCTAGAATTGAACCAGTCTACAGTGTACACATGTAAAATTGCACGTTTTTTATTCATACAGTACACGTACATGCACAAACCTCATGGACGGACGCCGCTATTGCAATTTGTACACAAACTCGGTTGATTATTTTCACGCGACGAAGCCGAAGCCCCGAAAATGACCAAGTCGGCCAATACTAAAACCTCCTTATATTAAAGTCGCCCTAGATTTACTTGAGTCGTTATTATGTTCCACTTGAATTATTAAATTATTTATTAGATTCTTCTCAACATCAAAAAATATCAATAAGCAATACAATGCATATTTCAAGAACTGAATCTAATTCCCCCATCTACGACTCCAAGAAGGTATCGAGTCAGGAAAAAAAATACGCCTAAGTAATTCAATATATTCCACTTCCACGTATTTCAGAGGCATACTTTGATCTTTGTCTCTCCTCTTCTTCTTCTTCTTCATCTTATGTTCCTCTTTTTTTTTTATAATTCTTCTCCTCCTTCTTGTTTTTTTCTTTATTCTCCCTCTCTTTCATTTCTAACTGCTAGAAGTGTCGTTGTCTATATAACCGCCGGCTTATATAAGATTTCCGACCGACCGACCCATGTTTTGGCACCTAAAGGGCAATAATACAACATTATGATTTTTTTTTTTTAGGCCTATAGTAACGAGTTTTAGATTCTGACACCCTTCATTTGCCACTCGATCTCCAATAAAAGAGTAGGGCCTACTAGCAAGGAGATATTACAAGTATCTCCCTGAAACTTGAAAATCGTGCCGGCCGATATTTCGCTCATTGGGGGGGGGGGGGGTGTAAGAAGCTATTTGGGGGGTGCCCCGGAAAATTAGAAAATCGCGCCGGTCGATATTTTGCTCAACCCCCCCCCCCCCTCCCTCTTGAGCAAGAATAAAATAGGTATATTTTGGGGGTCTTTTTTAAAACTTATTTTTTTAGCAGGGGGCAACGCCCGCTCGCCCCCCCCCCCCCTTGGATCCGCGCCTGCTAGTACCTGCATAATATGTTACTCTGTCGCTGATGGAAAATGTATTCCTTGGAAGCTTTGAAACAAGAAAAGGAACAATTCCCTTTATTCATGTTAAATCTATAATGAACTATTTCTGACCAGATCTCATCCAGCGAAATGTTTTTGTTTCAATGACTTTATCTTTACGTCCGAAATCTGGATCATATTTTCAATATTAATATTCGCAATCCAATGAATTTGTTTGCTCCTTCTTTTACGAATTTGAAAGAGAGCAAAATATATACAAAGTATTATTGAATCTATCAACTTTTTACATATCCAATAATTGCAATGCTTTGGTAAATGTATTTTTTATATTTTATTATACGATCAGTCTCAGCAATACTCTCAGTTATACGTCACCACGGGCGTATCCTGGATTGTTTAAGGGGAGGTGTATTTTTGCCCAATTCGTGAGAAAATGTTTAGCGGCAAATCAGCCAGCCGGTGAATAGTCGGAGGGGGGGGGGTAAGGAACACAATCCCCCCCCCCCCATTCCTGAGAAAATATTTAGCGGCGTAGCCGGTCAATAAGCAGGGGGGGGGGGGGTAAGCACTATTTTTTTTTTGGGGGGGGGGGGCTAAACGGGGTGGGTGGGGAGGGAGTAAACACCCCTTGTTTGCAAGGGGGGGGGTCGTTTGAACACAAAGAACACCCCTTGAGGGCCCATGGTTATACTTAGCAGAGCCAGCTACGCCCTACTATAGCAATTCTGCTAAACCCCAATAGTGCTTTTTAAAGGAATATTTAAGGCCTATAATCCTAATACATGAACTCTGAAATTTACCCTATCAAGGAGTGGTTGAGGGTGAATCGAGGGGTCCACTCGCTATTCATAAAATAGAGATATTCGTATAAGGACCATTATTCATAACAGGACCGCTATTCGTGAGGACCTCTATTCAAAATTTGAGAAGAGGGTCGCTATTCTCCCTCTTCTCGTATTATGAATAGCGACACTCATTTCGTATTTTGAATAGCGGTCCTTAGTATAAGTAGTGACTTTCAATGTGAATTAAATGTATAGCGATTAGCGACCCTCATGTTTCATTATGAATAGCGATCCTTATATGAATAACGGTTCTTACAGTGCATTTATGAATAGTGACCCCCGGGCAACTACCCCGGACAACTACGCCCGGACAACTACGCCCCAGACAACTAAACAACCATCCTAGGGGTAGTTGTCTGTGGGTAGTTGTCCTAGGGGTAGATGACTGGAGGTGGTTATCCGGGGGCTGGATGTCCAGGGGGTCGGTGTCTGGAAACGCCCTCGCTCTCTCTCTCTCCCGGTCTCTTTCATCCCCCGTTTCTTTGTTTCCTTTTTCTCTTCTTTTTTCCGTTTTTTTTTTCTTTCCTCTCCTTCCTCTTTTTCTTTTTCTTTTCTTTTTTTCTTTTTTTTATCTTTCTTTCTTCCCTTTTCTTTCTTTTCTTTCCTTTCTTTTTCTTTTCTTTTTTCTTTTCTTTCCCTTTCCCTCTCATTTCCCCCTCCCCCTTTTCTCACTTTCCCCGACAGCAGCGCAATTTTACCGACAATATCCTGACAGGTGGCGGGGGGGGGGGGGTGTCGCATCCTCACACCGCCCTTTAGCGACGCCCCTGGTTGTTATCCCATTATTCTTTTAAAAGAAATGCGATTCCTCGTGCTCTCGCACCTCTTTTCTAATTCTCTTTCCTTTTTTTGCTTTCTCCTTAATTTAACTCACAAAAGTTCTCTCTTCCCCCCCCTTTTTTCCTTCGCTTTTTTGTTCTTCTTGCGCTTTTTTATTGGGGGGGGGGGGAGGGCTACTTGTCTGACAAGAGGTATCCCATATTATGCAGACTGCAAAATTTTATATTTTCATTATTCTCCTTTTCCCTCTTTTCTCTCCTCCGTCTTTCCCTCTTTCTTCCTTCTCCGCCTTTTTTCTCCTCTCTCTTCCCCTTTCTTCCTTTCTCCCTCCTTTTTCTCCTCTCCCCTTTTCTGTCCTCCCTCTTTTCTTCTTCTTTCTCTCTTCCATTTTCTCTCCCCCTCCTTTTTTTCCTATTCTCCCTTTTATTTCTTTCCCCCTGCCTCTCCCCCCTTTTTTACGTGCCCCCTGTCCCCCCTCCCACTGAATCCGCCACCGGGGGGGGGGGGGGATAGGACGAACATGAATTAAAAAATATATCAAACCTAAAAAATGACGGAAGAAGAAGGGGAAGAAGAGAGAAGAGAAGAACAAGAGTAAAAGAAGAGTATAGAAGAATAGAAGAAGAAGAGTAGAGGTAGAAGAAGACGAAGAAGAAGAAGAAGATGAAGAAGCTAGAAGAAGTAGAAAAAGAAGAAGATGAAGAAGAAGAAGAAGAAGAAGAAGAAGAAGAAGAAGAAGCTAGAAGAAGTAGAAAAAGAAGAAGATGAAGAAGAAGAAGAAGAAGAAAAAGAAGAAGAAGAAGAAGCTAGAAGAAGTAGAAAAAGAAGAAGATGAAGAAGAAGAAGAAGAAGAAGAAGAAGAAGAAGAAGAAGAAGAAGAAGAAGCTAGAAGCTAGAAGAAGAAGAAAAAAAAGAAGAAGAAGAAGAAGAAGCTATAGAAAAGAAGAAGAAGAAGAAGAAGCTAGAAGAAGAAAAAGAAGAAGAAGAAGAAAAAGAAGAAGAAGAAGAAGAAGAAGAAGAAGAAGAAGAAGAAGAAGAAGAAGAAGAAGAAGAAGAAGAAGAAGAAGAAGAAGAAGAAGAAGAAGAAAAGAAGAATGAGGAGTAGGAGGAGGAGAAGAACAGAACAACAACTTTTGGCCTTGTATCACTCTGATCTTTTCGAAAACTTACACAGTCAGTGGTATCACTATGCCGAGATCTCTACACTTCGAGATCGATTTGTTATCAATGAGAGTTACTTGCGGCCGATTGCTGATTGGCAATCCGTGTATACTTTAACAAGTATCAAGAATGTATAATATGCTACTACTTTAATACAGCCCATAACAAAATGAAATAATTTAAATTTTTAACAAAAAAAATATATTAATACACAAATATAGTCTTAAAATAAAGATAATAAATAATTTTGGAAAGAATCACTACTTTTTAAACAGTATATGAGTTGCCAATTTCATCTGATCTCTGTACGTGATACCGGTGCATTCAGAGAAAAATCCTTGTAAGTATGAAAGCTATTTTTTCATGTTTTATTCGGTATTCATCAAATTTATGACATTACATATATGGTCTATATTTTTAACTCTAAATTTCAGGATACTCCACTACCATACTACTTGAATTTCGGTGGTACGAGATAGTTGAATGCAAGAATGATCGTGAAGGTATGAGAAGTGCAGTGGGAATGCTGTGTAGGCTACTGTGTGAGATGTGAGTGAGAATGATTGGAGTGGGTTGAGCTGGGCCGGGGAGCCCTGCAGAAATATTTAGTCATAATTCTTATGTCTAGTCTATACCTAGATCTAGCCTAGGCTACTCGCTTTTGATAAAACATATATTTTACTTATGATTGCATAATAGACAATTTCTGTTCCTTAATTAGGAAAATAAGTCTTTGGGATATATTATTTAATGAGACTTTACTTGTCATGTCATTGTTGAGTGACCGTCGCTCGTACGTGTGTAGAAATCCATTGCACAGTTATCTAAGCTGTGCTTGCGCATGAGCTCACGTAGCAAACGCATGTAATGCACTAAGCGAGGGAACTGTGTGCTATGAAATCTTGATTTCGGAGAGTTAGGTTTTTTATTTTAAACTAACGTCATCTACGTACGTGTTTAGAGGTATTGCTGCAGGGACATGAAGACTACATGAGCGCTGTTCACGGAAAACTGCAATGCGTGTCACAAAAGGGCTTGTGATGCTCGAGTCATGTCCAGTTCACTAGTGCTCATTGAATAATTTATTCCGCTAAAGTCTGCATTTGCCCTTAATTAGGTCTAGACTTTTGACGTTGCATATTTATCAAAGCGGCGTTTTCAACCATTTTAATCATGGCGCTTTAACAAAAAATCACCCTTCTAATGACTTCAACACCATGCACCAGTTTATCTGGGACTTGAATCTTTTGGTGTGCCTTAGGAAAATACCACAAATAAAAAAATTAAGCTTCGGAAATGTGGGTTAGTTTGAACTCACCATGTTTTGATTGCCTTGATTGGTCGTTTTGGTCGACTATAGGATCATTTAAATCTGATATCGCATTGCTAATTGAATGACTTTACAAAGTAGTGATTCAATGTAGTGTAAATGGGTCAAAGAGTGCTGCTGAATGCCGGCTGTGCTGGTTTTGAGATATTTTTTTTCGTAGCAGCGTGTATTCTAATAGCTTTTCCGAAGGAGGTTGCTGTACCTAAAGTAGACTAATGCTATAAACATTTAAAAACTTTGAATTTTTGTTAGATATTCATGAACTTTGACCTTTCCTTTATTTTTTATTTTTTTATAGAATCATGGGTGGAGGATACGTAGACGAGTCCCAGTTTGCCCACTACACAGGGTTCAGGAGGTGGTTCAATGCCGACACCACGTTTGGCAAGAGGAATGTAAGTAGTCTTGAATTTCAGTCAAGAACTAAGGAACGACAGTGCCTTGTAAACTGTATCAGATGGAATCGTTGGGTTGGGAGGGAAAAAACCAGCAATACTTAGATTGAGCTGTTGCATTTGCTATTTTTATTTTCTAATAAATTTAATGATGTTTTGAGAACATCGACTAAACAAATAACCATGTCAACAATGGCATTCTGGTTATTATACCAGAAAGAAGCAAAGGTCTGTGGTGAAGTGGAAGTATTTTTCTATTTTTGATGAAAGAAATGTACCTGTAAATAGGAATATATCTTTATTTGCTCACCCCAAGACAACATTCTCTACAAAAAAAATGACCAGTGAGTTATATGGCACACTAACAGTTATTTAATGGTTGATTACCCCAAACAAACCATCAATTATATGATTAGTTAGCATGAAAGTTGAAACTTTTTTCAATATCTTCTCTTGTATTGTATACATAATGAATTTGTACCTCTATGAAAGACTTGGTCATTGAAATATTGAAAAAATTAGTACCAACCAATAAAAGGTTGAGTTGCCATTTTCTACAGTGATCTTCAAAACTCAAGAAAATAAAAGATAGAAATCAACTGTGATATTCTTCATATTTGTTGTCAAATCTTTATTGACTATCTTATCTGATTTTTTGTAACGTATGCAAATTGAATTAATGTTAATGTGGTCTAGCTGGTTGAAAATGTCCCTCCCCATTTGTAAATGTTTTTACTCTGCTTTCTCCATCAGCTTTGAAATGCGTTTTACAATGGTTACACTTAGGACTCACAATTCAAGTTTGAACAACTGTATATTTCAAGTAAACATTAATTTTACAGAAATTAATTAGCTCATTTGTCTGTGTTTTCCCTATTTGGTCTTTCTCTAGTGTGTAGTTGGAACATATGCCGCAACCTTCGTCCTAGTATGGTACATCAGGAGAAAGATGAACAAGAACAAGGCTATAGCAGCAGCTGCAGCGGGCGACATCAGCAAATAAATGTGCCATGGATAACGGTGCATGTATCATAGAAAGAACTGAACATCGCCCTCGTATTAAAATAAAAAATATAGATGAAAAACATATTTTTCATCGAGTGAACTTTGACCTTCTCCTTTGCTGTTACACCATGATGCCCTCTCAACCGTCACTCAACTGAAAGATGTATTCACATAGAAACACTTCCTTGGTGTCTCCACTCTCCTCGGACTGCAAACAGTGTCATCAGCCATGCAATCTCTGTTTGAGGCTGCCTCCCCCTTCACCTGCCACATGTATTACAAGTTGCTGCTGTGGAACTTTTGGAAACATGACCAAGCCATGATGAGTCTACCTCCAGCAGATTCAATAATATTGAACAAATGTTACCGGTAACAATGTATTGAATACATTATGTTGGAACCAGTGAATTTATCTGGTATTAGGAAAATAAAAGGGCAGTCATAGGAATAAGTGAAAAATAATTAGTCAAGCATTTGAAAAGTGAAAGGGCATGGTTATCAGACTGGTTCCTGTATTGTCTTTTCAAAGAAGAAAGAAAATGTCAATAACATCATCCTATATGTTATGAATGAAATGCAAATGTCATGGCGTTTTAGGACTGGGAGAGGTTTGTTCTGACTTAAATGGTAATAAAATCAACTTGTTACATGTACACGTACCTAACCACTTGGCCAGCCTGAACTTCACATTTATAGGAATTTAGAAATTATAATTAATTTCTTATTTTGTATCTTGAGGGTCTCTTTAAAAATGTGTATTGGAGTTTGTTGAAAATTGAAAGAATGCTATTTGAATACTAGAAACCTTAATGGCTTATTCTTAGATGTTTATTTTGTTGTTGTCAGACTTTTGTTATTTACAGAGATAGAGAGAGAGAGAGAGAGGGAGAGAGGGGGGGGGGGGGGGGGGAGGAGGAGAAAATTGGACAGAGACACAGGGGGGGGGGGGGGGAGGGAGAGGTTAGAGGTAGGGAGATGCAAGTGTGGGAGAGAAGGAGGAGCAGAAGGTATTTAAAGAGATTTCATGTAAAAAGAGATAATGTGAGAAGGGAGGAGAGATATATGGATATATAGAGGAGAGAGAGATATGTATAAAGATGGTACAAATAGAGAGAGAGAGTGATAGTACATGTATGTTAGCACAGAAAAGAAGCTGAGAGAGACAGGGAGCGAGTTACAGACATAAGCAGAGACAGAATGGCAGAGATTTTCTTATTAATGTAGCATGCCTGGCCACAAAACCAACACTAGGCCTAACAAAAAAAATGTTGTATTGCCCTTTGCGACCGACCCAATAAATCTTGAAATCTATGGTTGGCTTTTTAATTTTTTTTTTTTTTTTTTTTTTTACCGCTATTTAGAATAAAAAAAAACTGAGAAATATCAGCCCAAAGAGAGAGTAAAAAAAAGAGAAAGATTTCCGACTGACTGACCCATGTTTTGGCACCTATAGGGCAATACAACATCTTTTTTTTTAGGCCCTATACATCCTCTTTATGTAAAGACTTGGTAAGTTGAAATGAAATGCAAATAGAATATTTATTGTCCATTTGAATATTAATTTTTTACTGGTACACAAATTAATTTATGCCATAACATGTACCTACATCCTACTAAAGTGGAATGAAAATTGGGTGCCTATCCCTCAATGTATCATCAAAAGAAATGGAAAAACTCCCTCTCTTGTTTTGTTTTTTAAAGTGAAGTTCTTCAAGAGTCATTAATGGTATCTCTTTTTCAGATTCAGAAACGTCACATAACCATTTCTCTGCATCTCTTTGTTCTTGTTCCTGGCAATATTACTTTCACATGTTGCCAAACATCACTCACCCCCCCCCCCCCCCTTCTCTCTCTCTCTCTCTCTCTCTCTCTCTCTCTCCCTATGCGGTATATCATTCTGATGAAAATATTTCATACACCACAGTCTACAATTTCACCATCTCTATACTAATAATACAATATTAACTTTTGATGTGTGTTCAGCTAGCTATTTTTTATTTATATTATGTGAAGTGCAAGTACAATGGAACCTCATATCAAACTCCTTGAGACCAATGAAATGACCTTGGTATCATTACATCTTTAATGTATCAGGGCTTAAAATAGAATACAAAGGATGGTGGCTGGCAAAAGCAATCTGTTAAAATGAGAGTTTGTTTGTAATAACAATTCTATATATACAGAGGTTCCCTAGTATAACATTCAAAAGGAGGCAAAAATGACTCAATTAATAAAGAAGAAACATATACCCATTTTCTTTTGTACATTAATTTCATTCCATTCAATTCTGAATCAGAATACTTGTACGTAGCATTTACATCTATATTCAATTTTGGGAATGGAAATATTTACGTAAATAAATCTAAACACACTTTGCAATATAATTTTTCATAATTTTATTAACACAAGAGGTATATACCAAAATGTTTCACATTACACTGCATATAAAAGATGAATTAAGCTGGAAATTCTTTAAAACACATATACATGTAAATAAAGCTTAAGGATTGCAACATTTAACAGGCAAAACTAATTATACATGGCGTTTTAGTCTGCTTATAAAAGAAAGGTAATTTCCTTGCTATCATTCTTTGGGTCTCTAGTAATTGAAATGTAGATAAACATGAATGCAGTAATTGCATATTGTATTTTCTTGTGGCAAATAGATCATATATGGTTTCGCTCGTTTGTCCTCGTCTGTTTATGTAAATGCCCAATTAAAGCCAACTGCCCACTCCATGATTCGACTACGATCCCGTTTTGGAAGACTAGCAATGTAATATTAACATCGTTTAATATGAACACATACCTGTTAAAATTCCACAGCAAAAATGTGGAATTTCCAAATCCAAAACGAGGAATAAAGTTTATTTTACAAGCTTTTAAACAGATATTATCTTGAAAACGAGAGGAATATAAGGTGCAAACTATAAGTTCTCAGGCAGAAATGTATGAATCATTCCTTTAAAATAGAAATGTTTGGCGGCTACATGCATGAGAACATTATCTTAATGATCAAAATACTGAATAATCATATGATTCATAACAATTTGAATTTGTGGTCTGCAAGTTTCTGTGAAAGAAAAGCAAAGTTAGCTCTGAATCATAGTCAGCTCAGACTTGTTATTGTCTCTGATTTGGCCTTCATTCTGACTAAAAGGCAGATACGATAAACTCCAATTGTTTACATTCATATAATTATTCAGAACCTCAGTCAGGATGATCATTTTGCTAAAATTTCCTTCTACAATAAAAATTAAAAAAATCAATTTGTTTGAAAATTGGATCGCAGTCGGATCATTAGGGCGCAGTGGGCTTAAGAAATTATACCATGAAGAGAGAAATGGGTCATTCCATGTCAAATCACCCAAAAAATCTGAAAATCTTAACCCGACCATTTTTGATTTTGATGAAACTTAGTATACTTGTTGAGTGTGATCTCACAGCACCAAATCCAAAATTTTAGGTCAATCGGGTGAGGGGTTTGGGAGATACGGCCCACCAAATTTTGAGATTTTTTCAAAAATGGGGGTGGCGGGCCTACCTTTGAACCCTTGTATCTCGGGACCTAATGGGTCATTCTTCACAAAATTTGTATTGTTTTAAAGGGTATTCAATAAGGATTCCAAATCTGCCGCCATTTTGAAGATTCGTACATGTTGGGGTACTTTGACCTCTTGACCTCAGATTTGACCTTGAAATTGACCTTGTGGATCACGTAACTTTTACAACATTTTTCATGAAATGTAATCTCTGACATGTTCACTAAAACATATTAAAGTTTCAGAGATATAATATTTTTTGTTTTGGAGTAATAAGGATTGAAAGTATCCATGCTCACAGATATTCACAATAAACCCTATTATACTGTATACAATACATGCAATATGCACAGTACAACATACATCTTCCACATGTTTTTTTGTTTTAGGCATATCCATCCTAAATGTCAGCAGTACTTGAATAGAAATAAAATGACAAGTTCATATAGGCCTAAAGGGTTAACAGGATGTACATGTATGGCTTTAGACCTCTGAGTCGGTTCTAGGATAATTACCCCCTGGAAAATTCACCCCCTGAAAACTACCCTCTAAGGACAATTACCCCAGAGGTCAATTACCCCCCCCCCCCTATTCGTTAAAGTGGAAGTCCAAACTGATAATAAGGTGGTTATAATCAAAGCAGATTTATTTTTTGGGGTATATTATTCTTGAGGGGTAATTTTCCCGGGGGGGGGGGGGGGGGGGGGGGGGGGTAATTGTCCTAGGGGGAAATTGTCCGGGTGTTGATTGTCCTCGGGGGGGGGGGGGGGGGGGGGGACAGATTGTCCTAGGAGGTAATTTTCTGAGGGGTAATAGTCCTCTGGGTGTGATAGGGGGAAATAGTCCTTGGGGGGTAATTGTCCTCAGGGGGGGGGGGGGGAATTTCCTGAGGGTTAATTTTCCAGGGGGGGGGGGTAATTATCCTAGAACCGACTCAGAGGCCTAAAGCCATACATCCTGTTAACCCTTTAGGCCTATATGAACTTGTCATTTTATTTCTATTCAAGTACTACTGACATTTAGGATGGATATGCCTAAAACAAAAAAGCATGTGGAAGATGTATGTTGTACTGTGCATATTGCATGTATTGTATACATTATAATAGGGTTTATTGTGAATATCTGTGAGCATGAATACTTTCAATCCTTATTGCTCCTAAACAAAAAATATTATATCTCTGAAACTTTTACATGTTTTAGTGTACATGTCAGAGATTACATTTCATGAAAAATGTTGTCAAAATTACGTGATCCACAAGGTCAATTTCAAGGTCAAATCTGAGGTCAAGAGGTCAAAGTACCCCAACATGTACGAATCTTCAAAATGGCGGCAGAATTGGAATCCTTATTGAATACCCTTTAAAACAATACAAATTTTGTGAAGATTGACCCATTAGGTCCCGAGATACAAGGGTTCAAAGGTAGGCCCGCCACCCCCATTTTTGAAAAAATCTCAAAATTTGGTGGGCCGTATCTCCCAAACCCCTCACCTGATTGACCTAAAATTTTGGATTTGGTGCTGTGAGATCACACTCAACAAGTACACTAAGTTTCATCAAAATCAAAAATGGTCGGGTTAAAACCATTGGGTGATTTGACATGGAATGACCCAAATATACAATGTGTACCGTATTCAGTAACTGATTTAATAAAAAATTGGAATAAACCTACCATGGCTTTAGAATATATTTCAAAAACATATTTTTAAACTTTAAAAGAAAAACATATTCTCATTATGCAGTGGATCATGTGGGGGAGGTGGCATTCACCTGCAATGCCATATGCTGGATATACTATGTCTCATCTAAACAAATATATCAATATACCTGCCAAGTGCTGACATTCCCAAGATATATTATTAAAAGTAAATGTTTGTACAAAACACCTCCATCTCTTTTTCCTCCACCAGGAGTGTTGAGCTGTATACATAATTTTCAGATTCAGATTGAATGATATAGATGAATTCTTTCATCATAGCAACCAAGAAAATGGATAATTATGATATTTTTTAATAATAATTATTAAAAAGAAATAACACCTGATGGATGAGATGCTCACAAGATATACAGCAAAGAGTACTAGATGTTATGCATTTGATTGATAACCAATGAAAAAAAAAGAAACTTTATCCTTCATCAGATTTTCCTAAAACCATCACAGATCCGTTTCTCTCTCTCTCTCTTTTTTTTGTTGCCAGCTTTTCAAAAAAAATCGCGGTCCTACTACCCCTTGGTAAGGAGAATGTCTCCTTATCTTCATCAAAGTTGATGACCTTGATGAAATTGACCGAAGACAGCTTGGGTTCTGGAGGCTTCTCATACAGTCTAAGGATGGATTAAAGGGGGTGTAGCATGACAAGACTATGTGTCTTCCCCCTGGACGACGCGACCGATGTATTCATGTGCTTGCAACATATACGCGAAACCGAAGCATGAGGAGAACTTTGGTCTGTTTTGTGAATGCCAGCATGCGCTGATCGTTAATCAAGTCCATTTGTTTACGTGCAGTTGTCCAAAATAAGTCGTAGACGGCGTTAACCAGTATTTGCCATGCTACACCCCCTTAAATGCTTCATCTTTGAATCTTCTTGTCAATCAGCTCTTAATAGAATTGCTGTCCCAGTAACTTTCCCATAGAAAATACAAAGAAACATTCAGGAGCATATCTCTACTCCTCTTTATCAAATTTGATGAAGTCTTTATCCGTCTCTGTCCACTACAGCTGTTGATGAAGTCGCCTAGAGATGGCTCATGTTCTGGATGTCTCTTGAAGTCTAAAGACAATGGATCGTTGATCAGCTCTTACTGAAACCACTGTTCCTACTTTCCCTTAGAAAGAAGGAAGGAGTTATCAGGTGCATGTCTCCTCCTCTTCATCAAATTTAATGAGGTCTTTGTCCAGTCTGCAGCTGTCGATGAAGTCTCCTAGAGATGGCTCATGTTCTTGATGCCTCTTGTAGTCTAAAGACAATGGGTTGTTGATCAGCTCTTACTGGAAACCTCTGTTCCTACCTACTTTCCCTTAGAAAGAAGGAAGGAGCTATCAGGTGAATGTCTCCTCCTCTTCATCAAATTTGATGAGGTCTTTGTCCAGTCTGCAGCTGTTGATGAAGTCACCTAGAGATGGCTTGGGTTCTGGATGTTTCTCGTACAGTCTCAATATGGATGTCTGACATCCTTCCCTCCACTTCTCTATCAGATTTTGAAGTGCTTCCAGGTCATTCTGTTCAAATGATAAAAACAATCAAATCAATCAAAATAAAAAAAAGTGTAAAAGGGTATACCGAATTTTGAAATAAACAAATCTTGATGCAACACATTGCAACCGACATATTTATAAATTGTGGATTCAGAAAGAAGCAGGAAAATATCCCTCAGGAATATGTTTCTTTCATAGAATATCCACAAATTCACAAATCAAGCTACGTGAGTGTATTTATTTCTGACCCTTATTACCCTGACACTTTGCAGCTATAATTTCCTTTGTGTTAAAGTAAATAGATAAAATAAAATAACTTTGTACAGTAGCAGCAGGATGTTGGCAAGTAGAAAGTACAAACCATGTTCCATATACTGTTATATATTATAGTGGTTCCAAGTACAAACAAAATAAGTCATGGTAACTTTTGGTCCATCAACAGGGTTAGATGTCTATAAATAAATACCATATTTTTAAAAAGCCCTAGTTGAAACAATGCTATCATAAAATTTATGTTAAAGCCTATATGTGCACTAGTTTGGCCAGGAGGGATTAGACTTCCCTGCGTGGTCACTGACAGGTGGTTATCTTATCAAGACAGCTCTCAATTAACATAAGAAAAGGGGGACCATGGGGGGCCAACAGGTACCGGTACCTCTTTAATAGGCATTGTTTGCTATATAGAGGCAGCTAGTAGTGCAGTTTTGGGAAATTGTGAAAATCTGGTGGATAGTGATTCTTGACAATTTTGATATATTTGGATGTATTATAAGCAATAGAAAATTTAACCCCTAAAACAACTCTGCTTTCGAGAAAAATTGAATATAAAAATTTACTGGAGCTCCCTGTAAATTTTGATAAATTTCAAATAGCGCCTATGGCCGTACGATGGTAGCTGCGACCATGAAAATCTCAGAATATGTAGTTGTGATATATAATTTTCAAACAGGAATAGCTAATCGGTCGATTTTAGCCAAGAAACATTGTTTTATAGCTTAATTAATATCTTTACCTTGAGAGGGAGCTATACAAAACAAAAAGTTTATTATTTATAATTTCATAACTTAAGACTCGATTTCAACCTCGACAACGATCACTGAATATTGTAGGATGCATATTCTTCCAATAAGTTCATTTGAACCAAATTCATGACCTGATACCAAAACTTTCTATTACCTTTAAGGAAACTAGTCCTACAAACAAGATACAAAATAGTTAATTAGATTGGGGGATAACCTAGAGCAAATTTCAAATCACCTTTGACCTGTACATCTTGACCAATTTCAGCTTTCTACACGTCTCCTCTTTCTCTGCAACCTGTCTCGTCAACTCTTTCCTATTTAGATCCGCTTCTATGATCTTTTCCTCAACAGATACCTTGCTGTCGCTCTCCTCACACATGTTCTTTGAGTTCACAGATGTTCTGCAAATTGGCAGCTCTTGGTTCAGTGGAACGATCTTGTACAAATCAAACAGAATGAAGTATACTCAAAATAGTATACGGTAGTCTACAACATTAAAACTAAATTACATATTGGGTGAAGTCATTGCAAATTGATGTTTTTTTTTCACTGCAGCAAAATACATTCTTGGGAAAGAAGGCATCAAGAATAAAAGAAAAGAGAGGGTATGTAAGAGAGAGAGAGAGAGAGAGAGAGAGAGAGAGAGAGAGAGGAGGAGGAGGAGAATTAAAAAGTATACCGGTATTCATCATGATCATTTATATTATATTAAATGTACATGTACACTAAAACAGGGCCCTGAGACTAAATCAGAAAACGAGGTTGAACAAAATTCAGACAAACATGAAGTATGTGTTTACAATTCACATGTATTTAGTTAAGTACTTCTGATTGTCAAATATATTTTGTTCCTGTGAAATTACTGTGAAGCAAGATTGTAAACATAAATATAAACTATTATTACCCGTATCAGACATCTGAGCTGGTCATTTACAAAACCGTATTGCCCTAGTTTTCACTAGCAGTGGGAACTGAGGGGTATATTCTTTGTATTTTCCTTGGTCTCCCTGCGCGTATTGACTTTGCGTGTAGAGACGAGTGAAAATATACCTTGGTATTTTCCACGGTCTCGCATTTTCATTGCGCATCTATTAATATTATGCGTACGAGAACCTGCGCACTTTGCGCGCACTGTATTGTGACGTAATAATCAAACCAAATACACACTGTTTGTAGTGTATCAAAAATTTTGTCAAGCACTGGATGCAAAGTGTTGGTTTGACAAAGTTTGTTCAGTTCTTGAGATTGTCATGGTGGATGTCTGTATTTGCTCTAGATGTCTGATTTGGATAACAATAAAAATATTGACTGGCTTTACTTTCGGGGGATATCAGAAATATTGACCGCGCTAAGACCATATTGCCCTCGTCTTTCGACTCGGGGCAATATGATCTGAGCTTGGTCAATATTTCTGATATACCCCTCAAGGCCAGTCAATATTATATAATTATTATATGGACACAATAAAGAAATGAAATGAAATGAAAGGAAATGATCAACACAAGCAGCTATGGAAAGTTAATTATCCAGGTCAGGCCCAGCTCATGCAGTCTTCTGTATGCAAATAAAGTTTAATGCATTATGCATGTCATGTGACTGTGGTAAGTACTGTACGTTGCAAGGGTTTTTGCAGTTCTGTGTTTTTTTGCATCCTAATTCATAATTTTACAATATACCCATACCATACATGTACATGTACATGTGTCCGGACATGTTGGTCATCTGGACTCATACCAAAACTGCGTCTTTAGAACAATTTCTTTCATAAAATATTGCATGACCCAAACTCAAGTTTATCTATCTAAGTGTCCAGAAACCAAACCCAACTTCAAACTGACATTTTTTCAACCCTCCCCAACAGAGGTGGTGCCATTATAGAGTCAGACGTAGCGTAGCATCAAGGGGAACATCCATTGATCATATTATTCATACTAGACTGTATCTTTTGGTCTATACAATTCATAATGTCCATGTTCTGCATAACTGCATATGCATATGAGGTGAAAGGAGCAATATTATACATGAAATGATTAAGTCATGAGAGCAAGACCAACGCTCGATTGCCCCACACTGCATCGCCTAGTTTTAATCATCACAATTTTTATTGCGATAAACTTTAAAATCCTAATCATAAACCTTTCACAGACACCGCATGAATTTGGCTCCTACCAGTTAACCGATTTAGAACATCTTAGGCCATGTAAAATTGATTACATGTTGATCGTCCGGATTTTTTGAAAAAGAGGAGGAGGGTGTACCATGTTATTTGATATTTGATATTTCAAAATGGCCGCTCAAAATGGCCGCTCGGTACATTTTCCCCGACAGTCGAGGCTATTTTTTTTCAAGATGGCCGCCGACAATTTTTTTTTTTTTTTAAATCAGAAATAGAGCCATTTTAGCAGTGTTTTTCATGTTTTTTTTCTTTCAAAAAAAAAAAATCAAAAAAAAAAAAAAAAAAAAAAAAAAACAAAAAAAAAACAAATAACAAAAAATAGGAGGCGGCCCCCAAAAAGGAAGCGGGCGGGGACGATCAACATGAAATCAATTTTACATGGCCTTAATTCAATTAAGATGAATTACTTATTGCTTACATTCTCTTGAATCTTTCAAATGATGCCTTACTTGACTTACACGTATCGGCGTCCAGCTTAAAGTTAAAGCAAGTCTCTCCGATCCAGCTTTTCCAGCCGATCCAGCTTTTCCAGCCGATCCAGCGGGCGCAAACAGCTAGTGCAGTGCACAGCCAGGATTCTGACTGTCTGAGCTGCAGTGTTGCGTTCCTCAACCCTGATATCGACGATGGTTGTTCCGCTGACTATAAGTCTGGCTGGGCTCCACTGCCCAAAAGATTGACAACTCTCAGTTTTATCAAACAATTCCCCGGACAAGACGATTATTTCTGTACTAAACGAGTCGTGAGAGTAGATCCCGGTCCAGTTCCCAATACAAAATTACCGCGCGCTGTATTTTTCGCCGGTGGATCGCGTATCAAAAATTAGAAAGGGGTGATTCCCGCGAGATGACGTCATGTATACAATCATTCACGGAGCTATGACGTCGGCCTATTAAAATACTGAACTCATATTTATGAAAATGGCCGTGTATGCGAAGTGTGGCAATCAACGCTGCTACCAAGAACGAAAACAGCTGCGAAAGGAGCTTGAACGGGGCAGGAAAAACCTCATATCATATATCGGTGAGTAGATCAAACATTACTGATCATTATCGGACCATTCGATTAAATATTGTCGTGAGGAACACGTAACGTTTCGGGGTAATTTACCGGCGAATTTGGCAGGTCCATTGTGCAGGTCCTCACGCTTGTAAAGCAGGCAAATGTTATTTTTGCCCGCTGAGAATGCCCCGTCCTTTCAGACCCGCATCACGTTTCACCCGATACAGTTAAATCCCCGCTCAGGCATTGTTTCCCAGAATGAAAGCCACCATTTTGTTTTCTTTGTGTCGTTTTCACTGGGATTGGATATTGGTTTGTGCTGAATTGATCTCTCAGTTTAGAAGCTGTATTGAGATTGGATAAGCTCATACAGCCTTTCGAAGGATTTCTTTAGTTAATTGATTTGTTATGCTTATTATTGACTTGCAGACAAAACAGTTTGGTTTTGTCTACATCCGACTCTCTCTGGTCAAATATTAATTATGCACATGAGTTTAATTGCATTTTGGGTTAGACTAGTTAAACTAGGTCTATAGTTATATAAAGTTAGACCACTAGCTATGTGTAAATTATGCTGATTTGTTCACAACGTGCTTGTTTTGGCCCTTTAAAGTTTTGGGAAATTTTCCAGACATTTATAATGAATTTAATAGCCTAATAATAGTCTACAGATCATTGCTGTAGGCCTACTGTAGTCTGTAGTACTAGTAGAGTTTGAAAGTGCATTAACGCATGTGGTGTGAACTGTGATGTAGATAAATAAAACAAAAGGAAAACAACATTCTTAACTTTTCATTGTTGAATTCCTATAACTTTATAACTAGGAGAGGAATAGGGACCTGGATATTTTTAATTTTTTTTTTTATCTGGAACTGAAACTTAGTTTTAATTCCTTGAATTCTTTCACAGTTTTGTTAATAGAATTTTCATTGCTGAAATGGCCATTAAAAGAGGAATGGATCAGGATAAATTGTATTACTTTTATTTGGAAATGAGAGTTGGTTTTAATCACTTTCATCAATTAGATTTGTACATGTAAATTGTATGTAAATACTTGTCACGAACTTACAAATATGCAATATTTTATATTTTGAACTATTATTATTGTAATATTTCTTGTTGATTGATGATTTTAACTTACACGAAGATGGATGTTTGTTGACTCTAAATATATGTCTGGTGGTGGGAAATGGATGGATTTCGTATTTTGAGTGTGTGTACGTACGTGTGTTGGTTACATGATACATAAGTGTAACAATTTTGGCCAAATTTTACAATATAAATAATGAAATAAATATATATTATAGTATTGTAATTTATTTATTCTGGAAAATTACAAGAATTTTTTTTATTTAACCTCTTAAAAATAAACATTTATAACAACATTAATGAAAGAGCCTGAATTGTAAATCCAATATGGCAGCTTCCATGAATCTTAACTTTACACAACAACATCGGACAAATATTGACTAAATAATCAATTAATGACAAATTGAAATCAAGATTCATGTACACTTGCAAATAAAACGCGATTAAGGACAGGAATATGAATGTAAATACAACTTTTCATTACGTTTTTTTTATACAAATTGCACCTGTCTTCTTTTGCTGGTTGTGATATCATAAAATATCCTAAAGTCTCTACCTCCATGGTACATGTACATGTATAATGCATTTTGATTTTTGAAATAATTAATGCTCGGTAATTTCACTAAAAATTAATGAAGGCATATCATCCCTATTCCTTTACCACTTTACACTGTAAGTAATATAGAGTCTATAAATAAATATATAATATTTAAATTTAAAGTTTGAAGCCAAGTATATATGTCACATTTGTTTACATTATGTATATTTTAATGGAAGTGTGTAACTTACACTTATGCAGTGTATGTATGCTTGTCATGCAATTGTTAAATGTATTTTACTGAGAATGTCCTGCTTTAATAAGTCTGCTTAGGATCTTTCAGAATGTTTCTTTTCGATACAGGATATTTTCTGTACTGGAGACATTTTTGATTGAGTTTTGTATTTTTATCATCATCATTATTATTATTATGATAATTATTATTATTGCTATCATAATCTTCACCAGTAATAATATTGTTGTTGTTATTGTTCTTATCATGAGACTATACAACAAACAACAACAATATACATGTATATTTATATACTGATACATGAATTAATGGTACACTAATTTTCTCTTATTCTATGTAAGATGTAAGGTTTCTATTAGATTTTCATGTATTGCTCACCATGTTCATCCTAATGATTTCATTGGAATGTTGGTTGCAAATATTAATTGAAAAGTATTGTTATTATTATTAGATTATGAGATTAAAGATAAATTCCAGTTCTGGTAAAAAAAAAGAAAATCAATTCTCACAGAATCAAACGAAACTTACACTGAATGTTCAAGATTACAAATAAATGACATGTGCCAAACAATTTTGGAAGAAAATGTATACTAGCTGAGTAATGAGCATAGAAAGACAAGGAAATCAAGGTAGTACTAGCCCCGACACCATGTGTGTTGTCCCATATAAAGCTTTTTGTGTACAGTGCTTGTTACTTTACCAAGACTCGGCCAAATTTATTATGATTTTGATGACTCCAGAACCTTGCAGTGCACGCCAATACTTAAATGCTACATGTACATGATCAACTGTTTCTGATCCATTCCACACCTTTTCTTTCACAATGCAATCGCATTACCAGAACTCACCTTAATCTTTAACTGTCAGTGTATTTTTTGGTAGTGGAGCTGAATTGGTATGATCGGATTTAATCTAAATTTTACACATTTTGGGGTCTAGAATTACCTTCATAGCAATTTTAGGTCCTAATAAATAGGGCACTAGAAATGTCATAAATGAGAAGAAGAGCAATAACCATCCACTTTGAAGGCATTTCCAGTATTAATTTTTAACAAGAACTCAACTATCCCTTTAACTGTGGCAGACAATTGTATGTTCCATTTGCCAATGAAAGCTGGTAAAGGGTTTAAACCCAAACAATTCTTCTGTTTTCTTTAAATAATCGTAAAAGCAATAATTAGAGATACAATGTACACACTGTATACACTGACACATTGGTAATGGTGAGTTAGGGGGGGGGGGGGGGGGGGGAGGTCATTAGTTTAACAATATTTTTGCTTCCAATTGTAAAAAGAAAATTGTATCTTTGCTCCTCAATGGGAGTGCAAGAAAAGGTTAGTATCAACTATCAAACACTGCCTTATATACTGTACATGTACACTGTATGAAAACAAGATTTGTATGTAAACCTAAATTTGTTTTCTGCTGAGAGCGAGTCTGCGAGAAAGAATGGTGATTCTAATGTTTTTCCATATGTGTTAAAAAGAATATGAGTTAAAGATGAGGTTGAATTGTGATATGCAAAAATACATGAACACTGAAAAAAAATGTCTGGTAACAATTGGAAAAGGTTGTGTGGTGACGTATATATGGTTCAAGGTTTTGGAATCACTCATATATTGAATAAGAAATTGACTCAATGTTGATGAAAGTCATGTACAATGCACATAGAAATGGGTATATAAAATGCACAAGTGTTTGGCCCAAACTCTTTATCTATTTCTTGCCATATTTGATTATGAGGGCATTGTAACTTAGTACCGTTAAGAATATTTATTTTCAGGAATTCAGGAGACATTTCTCTTAATACGGTGTTCTTCCACACTGACGCAAAAAGAATGAGAAATCTCACAAATTATTTTTCACGTTTACCAGAACTCGTCTGTCTCTTAATCATCTTTTTTGGCGCTCAGCAGACATGTCAGTCAATGTTCAACACCATTAGAGTGATGCCTCTGTGACCTTGAGTTCACTATCTCATTAACCATCACGATGAGTGGGCTGATGAGATGGACCCCCTCGAATGAATGCCGGCCGGCCGGCCAGCCCCCGGTCCAAATAAATGAATGCTCCCCCTACGTTATGACCGTGACTGTTGTTATGCATGGTTCAAATTCCTTTCTAGCCAAATTCGATGGTACAGCTTACCTCCATTTCCACACATGGCTCTGCCTAGCCCTAAGAAGTGCAACCAGTAACAAGCTTAATACCAAAGGCCTGGCCTCTGTCTCGGCCCACCCATTGAAATAGTGAAGGTGAATGTGTGCTTCAATGCAAATAATGTTGACTCATTATTCAGAAGCATATATGTGAATACGTTGAACATTTTTGGTTTCTGTGTGCATACCGGTACATGAATGAAACAGCAGATTTTAGGACGGGAAGGCGGGGTCTATGTAGGAGATTGCTGCGTGTAAAGGTTAAGGTTATTATGTTGGGATATTAATGAAAAATGTAACATGTAAATAGAAATGAAAAAATGAAAAATACATGTACACCGCAACAGAGAGCAATTTAGCACTGGAAAGTTTCAAAGCAGCATTGATGGCATAGGCCTGCATAATTGCTGCAAGGAAATCAACAAATCTGAGATGTTAAATTCAGACCAGTACTAAGAAAGTTACGAATGTTAGAAATATGGGATCACTACAGCTATGCATATCTCATATCGGCAAATTTGTCATTAGATTGTTACAGGCCTGGATTGTTAATTTGTTATAAAGTGACAACTCTCCTGTTTGTCATGTAAAGAAATATCACTAATTTCTGGTTTTTTCCTCAAGTTCCTTCTCCCTTGGGGCACTACTCAATTTATGTTATTGAGTGTATATTTATACTGTAGGTCCTCTGAGAAAGAAAAGACCATCCTGAGTCATACATATTGAAGGAAAAAAAGAAAGAAATTTATTGTTATTTTGAGTGTTGGAACAATTGGGAAAGTAGTCCGGCACAACATCACTGTGAAATTACTGATTCAGCCAATTTGAAGTTCCAATACGTGATTAGAAATTAAAAAAACTTATTACTTTCTTAAGTCAGATTTCATTCAGACTTTAGTTAGTCTGATTCTCTTATCTTTCTGCTTTTGTTTAGAGTTATTTGCTATAAAAGTTGGATTTCCCTTTAAATTTGTATCCCATTCTCAGTGCTTTTACAAGGAACAAAGTTATTTCCTGGAAAGGAGAAGGGTTAGAGAAAGGGAAGAAAAACAAAATTGACAAGCTGTTATTATTCAATCTTGAATGAAGGAGCACTGGCGTGAGAACATGCATGTAGGCTGCTTTGGATTTGAAACCAAGTCTGTAAGCGATTGCCATACATGGTAACTATACAATACAATACAATAAGATAAAGTCATTTCTATAGCGCTCTTTAATACAAACCAACTGTTGTTTCACAGCGCTTTATATTACATAAAAGGTATCAAAGAATATGTTGTTGTCTTGTTGATCATGGTCAAAGAGGAGAGTTTTGAGACAGTTTCGGAAGACATCCAGCAAAGATGATTTTTATAAACGAATAAAATATGAAAGTTCATTCCAGAGTGGAGGAGCACATGCCTGGAAAGCATTGTCATGACTAACATGACATTGTTCCTCCCTTGCCAAGTCACATGGAAAAGATGTAAAGCTGTTGTTTCCTGAATACCGGTATTCATAATTTAGTAGCATTCATGTGAAATGAAAAATAACATACATGTAAACTGAACAATTAAAAGAAAAGTGGCAGAGCATGACAGGGCTAGTTAATATCACCCTTCAGCAGATAGGTATTATTTAACCTCCTGCTTCTCTCTACCCAGGTGTATATATGGATGCCTCTTGAATGTCTGCATTATGATTGTTTGAACATACTTGCACCTGTCGATGGAAAATTGTACTTGGCCAGAATGATGTTCAGGGAGTGGAGAGTACTATGCATTATATCTGGGGTATATATTTAAAATCATTTAATAATCTTAAATCTTCATTTTCGTAAGGTGATTGCTAATTTCTGATTAATAGCGATGTAAGAAATGGAATGTGATCTAATGTAGTATAATGTACTGTATGAATGAGGATGTTTCTGATAATGCTATCTTATAACTAGAGTTATGATTCATTCATTAAAAAAAAAAAAAAATTAACAGTGCTGGTTTTCTGAGGGGAAATTATTTACCCAAATACTGTAAGCAATGAACATGCAATGATTGCATTTGCATTGTCGAGTCCTCAGGCATATATACCGCAAGAGGAATAATTGTGGATTAATCCTGAATCTCTATGCTTCCTGTGCCTAGATCCTCCACTCCCAAAGCTGATTTCATATTCACCTCCCCCAAGTGGGCTTGTTGTTTGAACAACGTTAGATGATGGCTCTTTACACGAAAACCTTGCTTCCTCCTCAAAATCTGCCATGGAGACACAATGGCTTAATTTAGACGTTTTCCGCGGAGATGTCAGCTCGTGGGCTTGTAAGACAAACACCAAACCTCCGCCAGAAGGGCACGGGGAGAGAGAAACAAAATGGCAGAGGAGGGAAAATCAATCAAAGAATGTAAAGCTATGTGTTGTGGTTGCCAAGTACCCCCCATGTTTCCAGAATTTCCCGTCTAAATTACGACAGGGAAGTGACGGTGCTAATTTTAAAAGGCTCTCGTGCGTCTTTTGTGCCGTTTCTTCCCCTCTCCAGTTTCCAACCCTGTGTGTCTGTCAGCGAATGTACATGTTCATTTCCTCAAGCACTTAAAAGGGTTTTCTAAACTTTGCATGTATTGGTTGTCTGCTTAATGATTCATACCGTTTCTGTTTGAGTGGCGTTGTATTTTAGCCGGACAGTGTGCGTCCATGATGGTGGCTGTGGTTAACAGGGTATTATTTGCTCAGCTAGAATTTGCATGCTAATTGCGGCAGAAAGCTGTAACCTCCATAGCATGAGCTATTAACAGACGTCCATTTCCCCCCTTCTCTTGAAAAAAGGGTAATGTTGTGTCATTGTCCCCAGGGTTACAAGTGCATTATGGATGCGTTCAGACAACGTTTTGGAAGGTCAAATCAAATGAATATATTAAAAAAGAAAGAACATGTGGAGATACAATGTAACCCTCAATAAAGTAGTAACTGTCACAGCATGAGCTAAACACACGTCCATTTCCCATTCACTTGAACAACAGGTAATGTTTTGTCATATCATCTCTAGGGTTACAAGTTCATTTCATGTATGAAGGCGTTCAGATCAAAATCTGGTCAAACGTTTTGAATGGTCATGTGGAGAATAGTGCTCAAAATATGTACACCCAGGTATTGGTTTTTTTTTTTCATCCCCAGAACAACATTAAAATGTGTTAGCTGAGGGGGCGCAGGGTTTGTGCGGAGCCCTGCATTGTGTATTCCCCAGGTTACAAGGTCGATTGAAATTATATGTGTACGTGTACGTGTACGTGTACGTGTACGTCTGAACAAGACCCTTTGTTTTCTTCCCTCTTCTACAACAATGGCCTAGACCTGGCCTTGATGACTTTCCCCCTTTTTCCTAGTGCCACATTGAACCATAGAGGGGACTCATGTTTTGTCCATATTCATGTACTCTGAACATACAAATTTGCTCCACTGAGTCATTGTCTTTATAATGCAGAAGCCACCCCTCCCCACTCCCCATCCCTCACCCTCACCCCTCCCTCACTCAAAAAAACATTCACTTGTTACACAAGATATCTAGATTTTAAGAGTAGTACACTTTGAAAACCAATTCCAATAGATAAAGACAAAAACAATGATCAAATATTATAATTGGTCCTTTCTAATGCCAGAATTTACAACCTTTTCTGTCAAAATACACATAAGCAAACTATTGGTTGTTGTTGTTGTTGTTGCAAATATACCAGTAATATTATTAACAAAATATGTTGTTTTTGTGAATTAAAGGTAGTACGTGTATAAACAGGATTTTTGAAATACCACAGTTTCCAGTCAATCTGTCTTCATTTTAAAATTAAAAACATGTCATATGAATTGTTTCCATGTTATTACATCGCTCTTCAGCTATTATCCCCAAATACCCAAATGCATGCTTTATTGATTCAGTTTACAAATGAGTATTTCATTGTTCAATGGCGATAATGTAAATCAAAACTTTATATATTCTTATACCTTGTGAACATTCACAGTTCGAAAAGTTTAATAAATGATATAATTTACATGTAGTAAAGTTTAGACATTTGTATGTCATGATCCAGGAAGCTGTGAAGAAAAATATTTTAATTCAATGCTGTTTCTTTTTTTCTCTCTCCCATGCAGGCCTTGAGTGTGTAATTGAAAGCGTTTTCGGGTCTGAATTTGTGCAAAAAGTATCTCCTTTCAAAGGTGGGTGAAAGTGAAAGTCAAACAAATATACCAGGAACATACATGTTTGGAGCAACAAAGGCAATAACTCCGTTCAAAGTATACGAGTCAATGCCCCTCTACCTCCAAACAGAAGATATACTTGTGTATCCTCTTTTCAAAGTCATTTAAGGGTTTAAATTTATGGATTGAAGAATTACATCATGGTTTCCATTACTCTTTCTGATCTAAAATCGAAACAAGGAAACTGAATTTTTAAGCTTAAAATAAATGAGGTGGGGTTATGCACAATTCTGGCATGGTTAAAGGGGAAGTCAATCCGGATAATCTGCTTATATGAATGAATAAAAGTTGTACAATAAAAAAGAAATAGGTCAATGAAAATCTGATAAGTTTGAGAATACAGTTTGCAAATCTGGATGTTAACATCTCTATACTGGATCACCGAATGTGCAATTTCAATTGGTCTTAGTCTCTGTAGTGTATACAGATAGCCTCAAGATTATTCTGATGAAATTGACCCATACATGTAGGATATATGAAAAAACATGGAGCTCATTCTTTGTTTTTAAATCTGGATGAAAAAGTAGGATTACATTTTACTTGACCTTGTTCCAAAATTTTGAAACTGCAATTTGGAACTCTGGATAAACATTAATTGTTATTTCATTTTTTCTCCTCAGCTGCGCAAGATGACACACACAGTCATGAACCTTGCGACTGGCAGGGCGAGAAAGAGAACTGTGCCATGTGCGCAGCCAGGCAAGAAATAGTACAGGTAAAACAAACAAATTTTCAAATTTCTGTTGAAAATAGCGATGACGATGTTGATGACAATGGTGATGGTGATAATAATAATAGTAATGATAATAATTATTATGAAAATACTAGTGATTACAACAATTGGTTTTATTAAGCATATTTTTCAAAGGGTACGAGGCGCTGTCCCTTAGTCAAAGGACAGATCAAAAAGAGTTGTAAAGGTATTTTTTTAGATTTTTTTGAAGAAGTCAAGTCAACTATTGTGTCTTATAATTGTAGGGAACAATTTACATGTTCTAATTCCTCTGTCACACCATTGAGACTGACACCAGTCTTTACTAAAAATTAGGTTATATTTATGAGTTGGTGTGAAGTCCATTTAGCATTGTGACTAATACCTGAGGCAGATGCTGCATGCAAATGCTGAGCCCTACTTGGAGGATACTTGGTATAATATATGGTATAATGGTGTAAACGTGGATGAACTGCTCTGTTCAAAGATATCAAGGCGGACAAATTAAAATGGCTGAATTGTGGATATCTTCTGATGAGAGCCAGAAGGATGTTTGACTCTACACTGTATGTACATGCAAGACGTTAGAATTGGTAGTGGCCGGTGCATTTCTGTAGACAACATGGCCGATCTACATGAGTGTTAAAATATTGAAACTGAAACGTGAATACATGTACATGTATTTTGCTATACATGGGGCCCATTGAAAACAGTTTTAAGAGGGCAAAAGGCATATGATCTATGTGTGCAGGATAATAGGGGGCTGAATGCAATACACACATGTAGATTAAGTGTAGAATTACATGTAGAAATGTGTAATTGTCATTTACAAATTTAGACTTTCACAATATTGTGCAAAATCATGGATCTTGATCTTTTAGTTTCACATGTATGGGATTGCTTTCTCAAGTGTACATAAGACAGAGTAGAATTGTATGTATACAGTGTAACTTGCAAATGACTGAAAATACCTTTAACTCTCAGGTATAAAAAAAATGTATTGGAAAGTAAAAAAATCCACAAATAAAGTTGTTCAGCTTTGATTCTTGTCTGTCTGAAGTGCTCTCAAGGTTTCAAATTCTGCATCAGTGCATGATGAAAGATGCGTGCAAATCACAGGAGAAAAACCACAAAAGGGAAGAAAAAAAGAACTATATCCTGCTATTCAGGTTGCTGAACGCTCATCAATTGTACTTGTGGGTTTTGTGTTCAAATTCGAAAGTACCTCATCCCACTATCTCCATCTCCGTTTCTCTTCTCTGTTCTTTAAGTCTTTCCCTTCTTTCTTCCTCTCCCTCTCCCCTTCTCTCTCTCTCTCTTTCTATCTCATCTCTCTCTCTCTCTCTTATCTTACCCTCACTCCCTGCGTCTCTCGTACCCCTCTCTCTCTGTCTCTCTTACCCTCTCTCCCTCTCTCCCTCTCTCCGTGTATGTCTCTCTTACTCTCTCTCCCTCTCTCTTACCCTCTCTCTCTCTCTCTCTCTCTCTCTCTCTCTCTTTGCCTTTTCTACTCAATAATCCCCAGCCCCCAGTTTCTTTCAATCTATCCTCCCCCACACATCTTTCAAATTTCTCTTTATCTCATTGTTTACATCTGATTTTGTTTTTTTGATGTATTTCCAGTTTCTCCTTTCTCTCTCTTTCTCTCTGCGGTCTCTTTTGTGATACATATCTCGTTTTATTGCTTCTCTCCCCATACATTTAATGTATGGAGTTGTACTTTAAATCCTGTATCCCCTTTACCTCGCTCACGTCCTTTCTAATTTGATTGTGTTCTTAGTTATAATGTACCTCCTTTATTTTTTCTTCTTTATATACAGAATTGTCTTTTGAATATCTTTTGCCTTTTAAATTTTGAATTCTCTCTATTTCACAAAAGTATCTTGGTTTTGCATATTTTGTCAGTTTTAATTTAAATATAGAAATTTTTTTCCTTCCCTGAAATGTGGTTTTTAAAGATATTCCCCTGCAATCACATGTTCATATTGGAAGGTTGTTCATAGATGGTTACCTTGCAAATGGAAGCCTCCGTGGCATTTCCAGTGATGAAATAATGTTTCAGTGATGATATGATTTACAATGTACATGTATCATATGATATTGATCCATCATATGATGTTAGCGCAATATTCATTAAATATACATGAAAAATCTAATTTTTTTTAATAGCTTTTGTCTAACGTGACCATGTGCATGAACATATATGCCTCTGTATCAAACTATATGTATGGATTAGTGCCTTTATATGTCCATGCATACATGTACAAAGTATTTTTAGGGCTAAATTGATCATATATTGTTCTTCAAATTTGCAACAATATTTTTCTTTTATTTCTACATTGTTAACAAAATGTAATGCCTCTGAAAGCAGTATAGATGGGCGAGAATGTTCTTGAAAAGTTGGAAGAAATGACAAATTTTTATTGAGAAACAATTATTTTGAATCACTAAAGGTGTTGCCAATTTAAGTATTTTTACGCTTTTTCCTTATAAAACTTCCTGGCATCAGACGCATTATCATATCATGAAACAAAAATGGATGCAAGGTGTCTAGAAAATGTTTGCCCTTTCTACTCATTTATCTTGTGTTCTTTTTAGGACTCTTAATCAATAGTTTGAGTCAAACCCCAAAATGTGGACTGATTGTCACCATTGCAGGGAAAAAATTAATTAAAAAATTTCGGGGGCTACTTTTCAAGCTTGCTTGCATGAAAATAACACTTCTTTAATTTGTTTTGCATTGAACTCTATGCAAATTTAGGGGGCTCTTTTGGGCATTTCGGGGGCTAATCCTTCCCGAGCCCCTGTGTATTTTTTTCCCTGGTCACCAAACAGTTAATGTAGCGGAGAACAAGTGGGCACCATATAGCTTATAATTGGGTGCTGGTAAGGACTGGTTAAATCTGCACAAAAAAAATCCAATGACCATATTTTGTTTTTATCTCCAGTCCGATCCTCCAGTATCGTGTTACACCCAAGTTGGTTTAATGAACAAAGAACCTGATATTATGTGAAACACTATAAATGCAGAGGAAATTAGCATTGAAAATTCAGACAAATCATCTCTTATCTTTACAAAGCACTCTTGGATGGTTTTATTGATTTGTAGGTTTTCATTGTAACCTCTACCATTTATAAGCCTTTTAATTGGCTGAATTTCTAGTTTTTGTCTGTTTTCTTTATTATGTACCTGACTATTTTTTACTTATTTTAGATCAGCGTCACTAATGACCAGTTTTACTAATTTTGCATTTCTCTACTGTAAAATAAAGTTAGTTTTATCATTTTTAAAAGTTGATATTGAAAAATAGGTTGATCAGTTGTAGCAGGTTATTATAGTAACTAGCAGGACCCGCGGAAATCCGCGGGATCCTAGAGGGGGGCGGGGGGTGTAAATAGATATATAGAGACTGTCTAAATTAAAACCACCAAGAACTTTATTTGCCATTCAGGCCATTAAGAAATATTCATGTTAAGCGTCCCCGCCCGCTTCCTTTTTGGGGGCCGCCTATTTTTTTTGTTGAAATTTTTTGAAAAGTTTTTTTTTTTTTTTTTTTTTTTTGAAAGAAAAAAAAACTGCGTCCCCGCCTGCTTCCTTTTTGGGGGCCGCCTCCTATTTTTTTTTTTTTTTTTTTTATTTATTTTTTTTTTTTTGAAAGAAAAAAAACATGAAAAGCACTGCTAAAATGTATTTCTGATTTTAAAAAAGAAAAAAAAAAATTGTCGGCCGCCATCTTGAAAAATAGCCTGAATGTCAGGAAAAATGTACGGAGCGGCCATTTTGAAAGAAAATAAAAAGAAAAAAAAAGGGCCTCCTCCTTCCCATTTTTCAAAAAAACAGGAAGCTAAACATGTTTTTTTTTTAATTTGGCCTTATATAAAAATTAAAAAAACGATCCAACTGTACCGGTAGTTATTCTTTAAGCCACTGGAACTGCGTAGAGTTCCGTAGTGTGGCGTACCGACTACGCAGAAATTAGGCTGCGTATTAATGGGGAAATAGTCCCTGCGTAGGTTATGCGTAGGCTGGCGAAAAAAATTAAACAGGTTGAATTGTTTTCGTTCATCTTGCGTACCCCTTTCCGTCCCTCAGCATATAGTAACGTAGGCCAGCGTAGTTGTTACGCAACACTACGCAACTCTACGTATTGACCCCACGCCAATTAGTGACCCGCAAGTGTCACAAATAAAGTATTAAAAATATGCTCACCTGACCCTAATTAAACGCCTAAAACCCCGAGATTTCGGGGGTTTATGGCCCCTTGAAACCCGTGGACCCCACACCTATATTATATATACACTCAACTCGCTGCGATCTAATCTCCCCCCCCCCCCAACTTTGAAGAACGTAACCCCCGAGCTTTTGGGGTTTATGGCCCCTTGAAACCCGTGGACCCCACGCCTATATTATATATACACTCAACTCAGGACCCGCGGAAATCCGCGGGATTCTAGAGGGGGTGCGCAGGCAAAAAATTAAGTTTTTCATTTCGGGGGCTCCATTTCAAATTTTAGGGAAATTTTCGGGGGCTCTTTTTTCTGGGGCTACTTTTTCATTAATTCATATAAGGATAGGCCTACACTTTGTTGAGATTTGTTTAGTAGGCTATTAGGTTTCAGGCTTCCTACTTCATAATTGCCTATTTTAAAAAAAAAACATTTTTCTAGTTCAATAACTAAGTTTTCATGCATTGATTTGATGCAAGAACTGTAACATAATAGACCCTAGATTGTGATTATTTCTGACCATGAATTTCGATAATCATTTTTCAAAGTAAAATTTTAACAGGAAAATCAAACAGTCTTTTAAAAACGTAGACATTAGAGTCTAGTAATACTTTTACTAATTCTAAGCTCAGGTTTCGTAAATCTATTCACGAAACTATATTGAAATCGCGGCAATAATGATGCAAACCAACAGATAACAATTTCAAAGTGTCAAATCTCTTCGACTCGAGCTCAGCTCAGCTTAACTCACACACACTCCAGCGTAACAAAAAGCT